CTTGAAGACTACTGTGCTAGAGAGTGAAACTGCTTAATACCTCTAATTAATAACTCTTAATGCCTTTTATCTTAGGTATCTTAATACCTAACATAAAAACTTTAGTGGAGAAAAGGAAAACATTTGCCCTTATATGGAAAAGGAGAAAACAGATTGTTAAATATCCAAGTGTACTTTATTTTATTTTATTTTATGTTTTTATTTTTATTTATTTATTTATTTTATTATTATTTTTTTTCCTTTTTGTCTCTTTTTTACTGACTGGTGACGGGATCGCAACCCTCGGTGTCACGCCCATACCGGGGACCGGCAACGGGATCGCAATCCTGGGAGTCGCGCCTGCACCGCGCTCAGCCAGTGAGCGGGAACCGGTCTCCACATGGAATCCGAACCCTCGGCAGGAGCGCCGCCACACTCCCAAGCAGCGCACTCTCCAGTGCGCCACCCGGCCGGCCCTATTTATTTATTTTTTTAAAAGTTGACCGGTAAGGGGATCTTAACCCTTGACTTGGTGATGTCAGCACCATGCTCAGCCAGTGAGCCAACCAGCCATCCCCATATGGGATCCGAACCCGGGGCCTTGGTGTTGTCAGCACCACACTCTCCCGAGTGAGCCACGGGCCGGCCCATCCAAGTGTACTTTAAATGCAGAAACAATTACTAATAACAGGCAGTACCAGAAGAAGTAGGTGATGTAATTATACCCCTTTTACAGATGAGGCTTAACATAAATCACTGTCCCAGGGTTACCCAGGTGATAATGGTAAAAGTGGGCTCCAAGCCAGTCTGACCAGAGCTCATCTCAGCGTGGAGAACAGGACAAGCTGGAGGGCACTGGAATCACAGGGAAGCGACCCACCTGAAACCAGCCCCCAGAGCAGCCCAAGCTGCTCACAAGGTGGTCTCCTACCCTGGATGCATCCTCCCAGTGCAGACTTAGCTAGTGCTGGGGTTGACTGGCTGCACTTAGAGTTAAAAGTTTTGAGAAACCCTAAATGTCCACAACTTTTGGGATGTATGATGGTTGCTATCTTCCTAAAGTATTCCCCAAAAATATCAAAATTCAGGAAATTGAGTGTATAGCTGAACAATAGTCTTTTTTTTATGGGAAATTACAGATTGTAAGATTTCAGGCAAATAGGGAAGCTACAGTCACGCTGTAAAACACACCTGCTGATGTCCCAGGCTACTGAACTCTGAGCTGTTTGGTCATGCTTCAGGCCATGACCTGGGTCGTAGAATTAACTAGTGGGTTGCCACCAGCATTTTGTTTTTTAAAAGAAATAGGAAATATCACAGTGCAGTGCATTTGGTAAGAGTCATATCTGTTTCAGTTATATGTGTACCAGACCACAGTGTAAAATATACTCCTGGGGGTTAGAGTCAAAACCATGGCCTAGAAGCGCGGTGTGGCTGGTCTCAAAAAGGACAAAATAAAAAAAGATAATACAAATCCTTCCCTCAACTTTTTGAAGACCGCCTTGTGATATTGCATTCTAAAAAAAAAAAGATAATACAAATCCTTCCCTCAACTTTTTGAAGACCGCCTTGTGATATTGCATTCTACTGTTCTTTACCTTTTTTATTTTTTATTTTTTTCCATTCAATACTCTATCTGAGGCTATTTTGGAGATGTACTACCTTGCTCTTTTTTTTTTTTTGCGGCTGGCCATACTACCTTGTTCTTTTACAGCTACGTCCTACCTTGTCATGTCAGTGGTTTTATTTATATTTATTTATTTGGGGGGCATCTGGCTGGTACCGGGATAAACCCTGGAACTTGGTGTTAACAGCACCATGCTCTAACTAATTGAACTAACCGCAAGCTCAAGTGGTTTTCAGCAGGATGGCAATGCCCCCAGGAAACACTTTGGAAATTTGTGGGCCACCAACACTGGACAGAGGTGATGCTGGCCATCTTGTAATGCACGGGACTGCCCACATGACTTCCAGACACCCAGCTAAATATTCAGTACATGAAAAATTCATTTATCATTATCTAAGTCTAGAACTTCACTTTACATATAAACTCACAGTAATTTGGTTTTAGTTTTGGTTGTTGAAAGTTTTAATATTGCTGGCATTTTTCAGACCTGTAACTTCCATGTATAATCAGAGAGAAGCATGAGCTTTGTTGTTTGGAACTTTGTCGAGAATTGTTCATCATTTCTGAAGGTCATAGGGTATTGCCTGAGATACTAGAGACACCCAAACTTCACCCCTGTGCTTGTTCGCAGTTAGAGCGGGGTGCACCCTGACCCCTTCGTGCTCTCTCGAGTGGTCATAAGGACCCAAGCGTATGCAGAATGAAACACATATTATTTCATTATCAGGGATTTCCCTTTCCTTTCTCCTTTATTGCTCAGTTAGACATTACTGATTTTTAAAAATGATGTATATAAGAAAGTTACTATAATTTGAGTTCAGTGTGGTAAAGGGATATTGTTACAAAAGGGGCACTGGATCTGAAAGACTACTATAAATTAATAGATTACTGTAATTTAACCAGCCCCTTATGATAAATATTTACAATATTTCCAGTTTCTCATGCTATTTATTTGCTTTACTTCCCTAAAATTGCATTCATACAGAATCACTGATTTAGACAAGGCAAGAAAAACTTAAACATGGACTGGGAATAGATAATATTTCAGAGAGTTCAAGGTCATAAAGATACCCAATCATTTCCTCTCACACTTAGAGCAGTTCTGCAATCAAAGCAAGTGTACTTACTTTTCTTCACTGACATTATGACCCTGGTCCAAGCCTCATCCCTCTCTCCTGGATGATACAGTGCCCTCCAGAGTTCGCTCCACCACACCATTTATCCTCCGCAGTTTATACACCGCAGTCAAAGTCTTAAAAGATGCAAGGCAAATGCTGTTACTCCGCTGCTCAAAGTTCTGTAGACATATGGATCTTATTTGGATCTAAATTTTAAAAAGCCAACTGGGGGAAAAAAAAGCATTTACGAGACATAAATTTGGGAAAATGTGAACAGTGATTGGACAATTAAAGATATTAAGGAATCATTAGTTTAGAGGCAATAGTGGTATTGTGGTTATCTTAAAAATAAAAACATCTTTTAGAGACAAACTATATACTAAAATATTTATGAATATGATGATATGATGTTTGGATTTTGCTTCAAAATAATCCAGTTGGACAACAGAGGACTGGTAGGGGAGGGGGGATAGTTGAAACAAGACTGCATGTGAGAGCAAAATATCAAAGAGAAGTTTTTTGACTTCAAGTACCTCCATTTTACATTGAAAAGTTAATGAGAAAGAGAACATAAACTAGGAAATTATAAATGAACTATAAGGTTATAAAGAAGAATATATGCATCTGGGTTAAGATGGTGAACTGAGGGCCGGCCTGTGGCTCACTCGGGAGAGTGCGGTGCTGATAACACCAAGGCCCCAGGTTCGGATCCCATATAGGGATGGCCAGTTCGCTCACTGGCTGAGCGTGGTGCTGACAACAGCAAGTCAAGAGTTAAGATCCCCTTACCGGTCATCTTTTAAAAAAATAAATAAATAAATAAAAATAAATAAAATAAATAAAATAAAATGTTGAACCTGAGTCCAATTAAGCTTCTAGGCCTAATTTCCAGTTTACAGAAAATACAAGAGCTAGAGGAATAAGTAAATAACATGAAGATGAAAACAATTAGTCAACTTCAGAATGGTATATTTGGGGATGGCTGTTTAGCTCTATTGGTTAGAGCATAGTGTTATAACACCAAGGTCAAACGGTCAGATCCCCATACAGGCCAGCCACCAAAAAAAAGAGCAAGACAAAAAAAGAATAACGGACATTCTACAACGTCAATGTACTGAACTCTTTAAAAAGTCAATTTTGCAAACAAACAAACAAAATAGTGGAAGGGCAGAGATCATTAGTATATGAGTCAATTTAAATGAAATGTCCAGAAAGGGCAAATCTACAGAGACAGAAAGCAGATTTGTAGTTGTCAGGGGCTTGGAGTGGAAGTGAAATTGACTGCAAATGGGCACAAGGCAGGGATCGTACTGGGGTGACAGAATGTTCTAAGACTGGATTATGCAGATGGTTGCACAACCCAGTAAACTCACTAAAAATTATTGAACTCTTTAAAAAGATGAATTTTATGGCATACAAATCTCAATAAAGTTGTTATTTTAAGAAGCTAATGAACAAATTATGTTTAAAAAAAAGATTGAAAGGACTTCTAGATTAAGAGACTAAGGTTATGTAACAGTCAAACGTAAAGTGGGATCCTGGAGTGGTGGGGAGAGAACGGACAGTTATAAGGTATTGTAATTATATGTAAATTATACTTTAATAAAGCCGATTTTTAAAACACATTCTAGGAACAGGAGAAATCTAAATATGCATCAAATACTATAGATTTTATGGATTTTCTGAGGTGTGATGAGGGCATTGGGTGAGCCCTCCCTTCTAGGACTCACACCTAGCCAACTTTCCTTGAAGTGGCTCTTGTGCTGACAGAGAACCTGGGGTCACACTGTAACCCAGACTCTGCTCATCTTGACTTTTCTTGGGGGCCTCCACCAAATAGCAGCAATTTTACCCTTTCTTTACAAAATTAGGTTTGTGCTTGCTTCTCACTTTTTCAAAACAATGTTTTTGTGGACATACACAGGTGCTACAGAACACAAAAATCAGAACCATGGATATGTCTCGCAGGGGAAGGAAGTGGAAGAACTCACAAAGGGCACTTCTGGGGTATTAGTAATTCTAGACACACTGGGGTTCCTTTATTTCTAGTCTTTAATCTGTACACTTTAGACTTGTGGTAGGCAACTTTTTTAAAGACAGCCCCTGACAATCTCCACTTCCAGGTATACTATACACACCCTTGCATAATCCTCTCGAATGTGGGCTGCACATACTAGCAAATTACTTGTAACAGAATACAGCATGATAGGTTAATATTTCTGTGACTAGGTTAAGACTAAGTTATAGTCTTATATAACAGTTTTTTTTTTTGGCAGCTGGCCAGCATGGGGATCTGAATCCTCGACCTTGGTGTTACACCACCACCCTGCCCTGTAACACACTACAGTGTTATAAGACTGCCATCTTGGTGGACTTCACTTGCCTTCCAGCTTGCATACTTCCATCAAGCAAGCTATGATGGCCAGGCCTTTGTGACAAGGATTTCAAGGCAGCCTCCAATCAACAGCCCACATGGCACAGAATCCTGCCAATACCCATGAGAGCACACTAGGAAGCAAATCCTTCCCACCCGAACCTTGACTGCAGCCTGTGAGACCTTGAAATGAAGGACCCAGCTGAGCCATACCTGGATTCCTGACCCAGAGACACTGAGATGTTGCTAAAATCCACTGTTTTAAGGTGATTTGTTACACAGTAATAGATAACCAATACAACATACTCTGTATGTACAACTCACAATAAAGTCACTAACTCTGGAAAAACATCAAAATGGGGTTCAGTAAGGGGTCTATATTCCAGTTCCACAAACCACTTGTGAGCTTTCCCTGGACCAAGCACTGGCCTAAGTACTGAATCCACGTTGAACCTAGAAAAAACCTGAATATACATGTTAAAAGAACTGTTCGCATGTACACTATACGCCAGTAGTCACTCTTCCAAGTACTTCATAGTTAATCCTCCCCACCCTACAAAGCAGAGTATCTTATTCACTGCACAAAGTGTGGTTATGTATATTGCAAACTTGGTTCTGTTAGGCACACTCCCACTCCCAGCTTGGTAATGGTTTCCTATGGGGATCTATGAGAGCCTCCAGCTAGTGAAGGAGTGACAAATTCACCAGGTTTGAATCTTACCTTTCATTTAAGCATCCCTTCTTCCTCAGGGAAGCCATCTCCCACCCTACAAAGCAGAGTATCTTATTCACTGCACAAAGTGTGGTTATGTATATTGCAAACTTGGTTTTCAGTTAGGCACACTCCCACTCCCAGCTTGGTAATGGTTTCCTATGGGGATCTATGAGAGCCTCCAGCTAGTGAAGGAGTGACAGATTCACCAGGTTTGAATCTTACCTTTCATTTAAGCATCCCTTCTTCCTCAGGGAAGCCATCTGCAACCTTCCTAACCAGGTCAAATCTTACCACAAATGATACCATGCACTGTAAGGGAGGAGCCTGCCTACTTGGCTCATGATCACTTTCCCAGTACCCAGCATGGTGCCTGACATTTAGTATGAGTTCAACAAAAACCTGGATGAATAAAAGCAACAAATGACTAGATGTGGACAAAGGACTAGTGTATATTAACTAATAAAAGACTGGGATGACCAAAGGATGCCTATTTCCACCTTGAGCTCAGGTCTGAAGCTCAGCAACAGACATTGCCAGCCCTTGCATGACATAACCCAGAGAACATGTAACCAACCAGTAGATAAAGGGCTGAGATCCACAAGGTGTTGGGAAGGGCACACACCAGTAACTGGTATACAAGGAACCAGTCAGGAAGACAAAGTTGCAGAACATAAGTAGTCAAGTGCACCATCTCACTTTTAGGACAGAAAAGCAACTTTGGAGTCTATTGAGGGCCCTATTAACTGGGGCCAATTAAGGTGGGCAGTGTGCACAAGCACTGCAGTGAGACAATAGGGTGTTAACTTGCATCTCTAGATTACTCTGACAGTTTTCATTCAGCCTACACATCCTAGCACTTCATTTTATAAGAAACCAAATTCTCAATTAAGGGATGAACCTTTTCTAGACAGGCCAAGTTTGCATTATGGAAAGGACTGGAATACCCCAAATGACCATAAAGTCTACATAACCAAGTCTAGGGAGTAACTAGGCACTGAAGCTGGTCTGGGGTTTAACTCGCTACAGGAATACTACACAGAACCAGTCACCTAGCCTGAATCCCACTGCCTTTCTCTATCAGACTCAACCACTTAGGTAAGAATTACCATTCTAAGTAAAAGCTGTATAAACTTGATCTACATTCTCAAATGGAAATAGCTCCAGATGTCCCAGAACATGGCACAAACACATTTCCCCTTATAGCCTAAAATCTAACCACATACTTCCCTCAAGAGACAGCAGCAGTGTTCAAGTTAAGCTTTGTTAAAGACAATGAGCCACAACAGATTTTCAATTTGTGCCAGTAGCAATCTTGAACACCTCTGATTGTGCCAAGAGAGAATTTCCCACTCCTACTGTTACAGGAACACTGGTCCAACCTTGTCACTATGTCGATTCCTGGCTCCTTGGTTTTCTGCCCCTGACTACATTTTCTATATTCCACTCACAGCTTATCTTCAGATACTCAACAGGAAGATTTCTTGGGTTGGATAAGCCAAAACCAAAGTATTTTATGAAATTAAACAAACACAGCAAGTGTTATCTTAGAATTAAGTAACCTGTTGATGCTGAAAATGAAACCTACATCAAAACCCTAACCCAAAGAAGAACAAACAATTGTTATTTAGCTTTTATTTCATAATCATAAACTTAACTCTACAATCCAGCTCCACTTGCAAAGGAATAAAGAAAATATGGAACCCAAGGAACTGCAGCGAGAGCACAAAAATTACAGGATATTGCGAGCAGATGGGGTGGAGGAGTACTCTCATGAGCTACAGAAGGAATGGTCTGGTGTTAAGATAAAACAGCCAAATTTATTAGAGTTGTCCACAGTCGGCAATGGTGATCTTCTTGCTGGTCTTGCCATTCCTGGATCCAAAGCGCTCCATGGCTTCCACCGTATTCATGCCATCTTTCACCTTGCCAAAGACCACATGCTTGCCATCCAACCTGGAAACAGAACAACCAGCACTATTATCAGTAACCAGAGATAAAGTTGCCCCCAATCCAATATAGCACACCCAACAGAATGTCAGTAAAGTGGTTTATCCAGCCTTGTGGACTAGTTAAATATTGGTCATTAATCGTTCTATCTAAAACAAACAGCAATACCATAGTTTACTATAAACCAATCTCAAAAAGAAGGAATAACATTCTCCAATTGTCAAGTGTTTTTTTTTT